CTTCAGCCAGAGCCAGCACCTTTTTTGGGCACCAAAATCAAACCAGTCCATCTCAAGGGAGAAATCCCTGGCAATGTGACTTCCCCGGTGCTTTTGTAACTGCTGATTCAATTTCATTTCTTCCCCACCTAAACCTTTGGACTGAAAATCAGCTGCAGATCCTGAAACATCCAAAGAGAGAGGCCTCCCACCCTGCATGTGCTACTCCTTCCAAAACCTTCCCTCTGAAAAAAATAATCAAATTATCCTCTACTGAAACAAGAGCTCTAAAACTGTTCCCTGAAGGTCTGCATGACTGAGCAGGTTTAGCCTGCAGCCATTTATTTACATGGATACAGCGGGATGGTCTCCAAGGATTCCTCCAGTCCCAGACAAGATTCCTTCTCCTCATGTGCATCAATCCCTCCTGCTAAAGCCAGACTAATTCATGAATAGGAATAAATGATACTCTCTGAGCTGTTACTATGACACCTGATAGTATCTCAGGAGCAGCGTGGGAGGAAGGGCTGTGCTGCCTTCTTTGGGAAAGGAGCCTGAGGAGTTGCCTCGCTCAGAATTTCACACACTCGGATATTGTTAACGAGATGATGAGCACAGAACGGGCACAGATCTAAAATCACTGCAACCACTTCAGCTGAGAGTGCACTTGCATTTAACAAGACAGAAAAGCAGTAGGCAAAGGCTGGATTTGATGGCCCAGTGATTGTTATCACTGTAGAGAGCATTAAATAAAATCAAACCAAAAGTGCACGGCGCTCCTGGAGCCCTGCTCATTACTGGCCAGGCAGGAAATGATGCCCTGAGTGCTGAGGGCATCCCTCAGAAAAACATCCCACACCACTTTTTGTCCATACTCTGGAATCTCACCTTCCAGCTGTAATTACAGACATTTAGCTCTCGGGAAAGCCACAGGACTTTGTCTATTGATTGCTGTAAGTTGAGGATGAAAGTTGCAACGATTTAAAGGACTGGGATTTTAAATGTGTAAACTGTGTTTCTGGCTTCAGTTAATTAAAAGGTACATTAAACTCAAAAAAAAAAAAAAAAAGGACTAATTAATACATTACCAGGATACTTAATACTTAATTTCAGATACAAGATAGCCATTTAAACATAAATGAGAAAACTTTTGACTGGGAATTGTTAAAGCTAGCAGCAAAAAAGAATCTGATACAGATTTACTGCTACCCTGATCCTAAAGGCAGCAGAGTGGCTTTAATGAGTGATGATTCTGAGCCTCAAACAGCAAATCAGCTCCCAGTGCCCACATCTGCAGCACAGCCAGAGCAGGACAAACCTCAATATTCAGCGTGCTGGAAGCAGGACTGGGGCCACAAGACTTTCAAATAAAAACTGGCAGGGATTTTATGAACAATCCAGCTGTTCCCTCTCTGTAGAGGTCACTGAGAAGCCAAGGCCATTTAGAACTGAAATTCAGATTTGCCAACAGCTGGGCTTATTTACTTTGGTAATGGGGATATTCACACACAAGCATCACCACTCCACTCGAGTTTGGCTTTTAAAATTGCACTGCCCACATGGTTTTAATGGCTTTATCCCTCATTTATCTCTCATTTTGAGCAGCTCATGGTCACATGGAAGTGCCAGACCAATTTTTCTTTTGCTTGATGAGGGTAAGGTTTGGACAATTAAAACTAAATTAGTGAGGAAGCTCTGAAATGCTGGAATTGTCTGAATAAAAATGACAGTGTTTACACCTGGCCTTCCACAGAAAAGCAGAGAGAGCGTTGCTGCTGTCATCCTTACAGAGAAATAGCATCCCTTGGTCAGATAGAAACAGGCAGCTGATTAAAAAATTCACAGCTCATGTGACAATTAAATCAGCTTCAAAGTATTTAATTTGGAGGTTGCACACTTGGCCCTGCTGAGTCAGCTGCAGTGTCCAACACAATCAGATTCTTTCACCTCATTTCTTTCTGGAAGCTGAGCTGTTGACCTTTGAAATCCATCTCAGCCAAAGTGAACGTGTCTCACAGCAAAGCTCCCGATTTTCATCTCCAGATTCCTCACCCTGGGATCTGCAGCCCGTGATCACCTCAGTCCTCCAGCCTGCGGGGCTGGATGCGCCCGTATCCTTCATCCTCCCCGCCATGGGCAGGCTGGGAGCTGGCAGGCTTGGAGAGGAGCTTCTCTAAGGAATAGGAAGTGCCAAGCAAAATTCCAAAGGCATCAGGAAGCCTCCTGGAGGCCTCAAGGACACTGATGAATGTGCCAGTCAGCTGCTTTAATGCGTCCAATTAAGCAGCTGCACAGACCCTGTCAAGCGGTTTCCAAATGGACCGAGGGAAGTCTCTCATCTTATTAAACAGAAATCACCTGGTGCAATCCCCAGATGTAATTTTCCTCTCATACTCCCATGTATTTCACAAATTAAAATCCTTTTTATTTGGTCAAACCCATTCAGGAACTGGTATTCCAGACTCGTGTTTTCAATTAACCTGTGAAGTCTGATCCAGCACCTGATTGAAGGAAGTTCTGATGTTTCCATCAAATTCAGGGGGTTCTGGAACATTTTTACAAAATAAGGAAGTGTTGAGATAGGTTTAAGAGTCTCACTGCTTACTTGAAGCCCCAAATCAGCTGCTAAGCAATAAATCTTGGAGTTCTCTATTACCTTCATCTCCTTTTAGCACAGATGGTAAAAGCTAGTGACCTTTATATTTTTTTGTCTTTCTGTGCTGAGAGCTGGAGTAATGAGAATATAATGAAGGTCTCTTTATTTTCCAGCAGCCTGGGAGGACACAGATTTTCCCAGCACTGCTCCACTGTCTTTTCCCAAAAGTACTTCTCAGGGAGAGGAACAAAATCAGACACATTCATGCCATCAGTCTCCTTGAGGGCTCCAACACTCAGTGACCTAAGCACACCCTTCAAAGCCAGGTTTACTGGAAAAACAAATGGAATTGTACTCCTGTGAATTAACTTTTCTCATCTCATCTTTATAATGCTGTTCTACCAGGCAGATAATGTAGTTACAGGCAAAAAGTGTTCAGAAACTCTAAATAGAGTAAAAACGTGTTTTGTATGGGGTTTTTTCCTCCTTATTACCATTTAGGGGAAATAAAACCCCTTCTCTCTTAATAAATAAAACCCATTTCTCTCCTAAAATCAGCTTCCCCATCAGCTAAAAAGCTCAAACTTTCTGCTCTGGTGGGATTCTTCCCAAGTAGGATGAACACAGGGAAGTGCAGCAACAGCTGGGAAAATGGGCCAGCCTCTTGAAGATAATTAATAGCGTTAATTACTGCTTTGTTTTGTGCAAACAATTCCATCCTGAGGAGAATTCAGGCACAACACATCATTTGTTGCTGAGCTATTTGGATGCCACGTGAAGCAGCGACACCAAGGCTCAGCTGGGATCCGGTTTGATCCCGTAGCAGGAGCAGAAATGCTGTGAGATCAATTGTAGAGCTGAATAAATAAATCTGCTGAAATAAATCTGAATCAATTCAGCTGAAATAAATCTGTGTTTCCTGTTGGTCACAGCCCTCAGGGAGTCCCCAAAGGCAGGAAGAGAAGGCAGTGTCTCCCCCAAGGCTGAGGAGGATCCTTGGGGATGGATCCATGATCAGTTACCTCCGTGAGCCTGCCCTTGTCTGCACTTTGGTTTTGCTCTTGCTGTCACCTTCAGTGCTTCCCTGAGCTTCAAACTGCCAGATCCATCTGTGTTTGCAGAGCATTCAGGGGGAGGTTTTTCATATATGCACAGTTTATATATTTATTTAAAATATTGATATAGTTATAGACATATGGAAATACAGCTTGGAGCAGACCTTGAGGGAAGATTGCAGGATAAAAGGTTTCTTGCCTGCCATCCAAGGAGGAGACTCACGGACTGGTTTGGGTTGGAAATGACTTTAAAACTCATCTCATTCCAAACCCCTTCATGGGCAGGGACACCTTCCACTATCCCAGGCTGCTCCAAGCCCTGTCCAGCCTGGCCTTGGGCACTTCCAGGGATGATCCAGGAGCATCCACAATTTCTCTGGGCAAGAAGCTGCTTCCCCCCCTCAGCCTCTGCTTCCACAGGAGGATGAAGGGATGGGGCACAAAGCTGTGCAGCTTTTTCCATCAAACACAAGCAACAAATCCAGTTGCAGCAATTTAAGGTCACACCAAGAACCTTTTAAATCCAAGAGAACTTTTCTTCACCATTTTGGAGGGCTTCAGACCAGGTAAGGAGCAATCTGCAAATCAGATGTGACACGGCCTACTCGTACAAATACAACATGTTTAGCAAGTCAGCCAGAAATCCAACTTACATAATAAGGCTTCTAATCATCTTTTTTTAATGAAATTTTAATTATGGAAAAATTAGTATCTGGTCTAGAGGTTTCTGCATTACCATAAATGTCTCCAAAAAAAGCACATACTCTAAGAAATACCTCCCGTTGCTGCAGAGCTGGAAAGTAGGACATGTTGATGGAATCCCAAAGCAATTTTTACTAAAAGCACTATTTCTGAGGAATCTGGCTCCAACAGAAGAGAGAATCCCTTGCAAGGCCACTTTCTCATGAGTAAAATATTTACAAGAGCACCCAAAAGCCCGTTTCTTCTTCCTGTGCTTTTGGTAAAAATGTACCAAAAGTGGAACAAGTTCATCTATTTCTCTTCCAGGCACTCTGAAAACTCAGGGAAGAAACTTTGTGCAAGGCCCCCACTGGGCTGGGAGGTGGGAGAAGGGGATCACAGCCCTGCTCCTGGCTGGCATGGCTGGGAACTGGCAAAAAATGGCAATTCCTTGGAAAAATGCACCTATTTGGCCATTTTTCTATTTTCATATCAAAATAATGAAACCTACAGTGCTGGGCCAAATTCAGGTGTGGTTTCTGACAGCTTTATAGAGTGAAATCAAGGGAGAACGCTCTGGAATTTGATTCTAGATTGAAATTGTATGAAAAGTGCTTTTCATTCCATGTTCTTTTTATTGCTGCTCAGTCTTCAACAAATATCCCATGCAGAATTAACCCCACATATAACAAAATCACCTTCAATTCTAATTCATTTGGATGATTCAGATGCTGGAGCTGGGAAATTTCATTTCCTATTTGCCCATCACATGATGGCCTGGTTCCTAACTGGGGGGTGGGGAAAGCAAACCTGAGAAAGCAAGAATTTACTTAAAATCCAGTTTATGTTGCCTTAACAGACAAATGGGTCAAATCAGAGGCAGTGTGAGTGTTTTCTTTTCACATCAAATCTTGTCTTCCATCACCCTCCAAAAAATTTGGTCTGAAACTTCCTGGTTTTTGGCTTTTTACCTAATTCTGATGTGTCAAAGCATACCTCTGCATAGCCCCCCTTGTATAAGTTATTTACAAGTAAAATAATTGTTTCTCTCCAAAATTAGGAGATTTTGGAGATAAAAAAGGAGTTGCTTTTCTCCTCATCTTCATCCTCATCAGCCTTTGTTCTTGTCCTTGTTTTTTGCAACATCCTTCCTGTGAAAGACAAGCAAGATTTTCAATTTGCTGATTTTCTTTAAAAAAAATAAAATAAAATACAGAGGAAGAGTTTGCTTGAAGCTTGAATAATTTCTTGTAGTCTTCAAATAAAATCAGCAGTCTCTCCTACAGATAAATATATCAATTGTCATCCTTTTCCTGGAAGAAAAAAGAGAGGAAGAAAGCACATCTCTCCCCTGAGACATCTGCAGAGCCATAGTATTTATTTCTACCAGAGAAGTTCTTAAAAGTGTTGTTTTTAGAAGTCAGGATAACTCCCAGCCCACAGCTGCTTTTTATTTGTATTTCATCTTTCTACCCAACTACTGCTAAAGAGGGAGAAGTTGTCCCTAAGATATTCCAGCCTTCCACACGGTGTGTACAGGGAGTGAGGCTGGGACCTTCTCACGGGAACCCAGCCCTGGAAAAACATTTTCAGGAAAGAAATCCCCAGGAGGAGTTTGGGAGCTTCCCAAGGCCCATCACATGCTGTTTGTAATCCTGGGAAGGGAGGATTGATAAGGGGAACCCTCCTCCTCCTCATCTTATTTGGGTGGGAGTGGGAATCAGTTTCTTTTGAGGTGCCTGCTGGGCATTCCTTGGAGTGAAAGGGATCCCTGGAATTCCCTCAACAGCTCAGACTTGGAGTTTGAAGCTTTGCTCCATTTTTCCCTCCAAACCAAACCAAACAACACCAAAAATTAAAGCCACAAACAAAACCTGCTTGATTTGCCCTTGTCCTATAGGGAACAAAAATAATTGGGCTGATTTCCTTGCACCCCACCTGTGTTTTCCATAATTTCACTTGCCTGATCCATCAGGAGATACCTTGATCAGTGGCCATCCTGGACCCAGCTCCAGCCTGAGCATCCCACCCTGCCCTCAGCCCCCTCCCAGGATTACACAGCTTCCATGGGAGCACAGTTTGCTGCAGATTTCTCCTCAAACCCCAAACGGGCTCGGCAATTCTGCACTGAGGGAGCCGCTGCTGTGCACAGCCTCATTGTTCCAGTCATTCCTTAAACATTGACTGGGGCAAACCTGCAAATCAATTCCCTCCACAGGAAAAACATCCTGCAGGTGGCTGCTGGAAGGATTCATTTCCCTGCACAGTGCAAAATGAGAAACAGTTACAGCAGGAAAAAAGCTCCTTTCAGAACTCTACCTTTATTTCCTATTCATGAATACAGCGCTCCCAAGTAAATCTCACTTTGTAAACAGTTTCCTTTATCGGGCTGGAAGTACCTGGTGAAACTGGATGTAGATGGGGAGGGGGAAAAGCTATAAATCAACAGCCCAAAGGACAGATTTCTTTGAGCAGAGTAAATAAATTTGCATGTTTTCAAATTGTTTTACAGACTCACGGTGCAGGTTCAAGGAATGGCCAGGAGAAACAACAGAGAATATATTTCACTTTCTCCAGACAGAAATCAGCTGAAGAGCCCACACAAACCCAGAATGTGCTGTCACAAATATCCTGTGCAACCTCAGTGACTTCAGGACAATTCCACGGGCTGCAGGCAGCACATATTAGGATTCTGTGTTTGTTGCCAGGCTGGGTTTAGACTATTTAAATTCCCTGTCAGGATCAGTTATGGTCAAATCATTTCCCATAAAAAGAGAAATGGATTCGTAACGAGACTTAATGCTTTGTTGTTTGAAAAACTATTTCAACACACTATTAAAAACTCCAAGGACTCTAATTGAACTGGTTTTTTAAGGAGGAGACAATTAAAGTTTGCTGCATAATTAACATATCACAGCCATTAATAACCCCTAAATGATCCCTAAATTTCATTTTATTCATTATGGACAAATTGAGCCGACTCCTTTTAGAGGAAATACTTTAAAACACCTGTCGGTGAAATATTCCTTCCACCATCTAGAAAGAGAAGCCTCCTAACCACTGCCTGGAATTGGTGTCACTCATTAAAATCATCTTCAGACATTGTGTGCCTTCCACAAGTCCTCTGAGCACGGTCACGGGGCTGTTTTAGTCACCGCTTATCTCCAAGAGATATTCCCAGCTTTTATCAAGGAGCTTGTGTTTGTAAATAGGCAGCACAAAAAGCCACAGCTCATTTCCCCACTTTTGTACTGCGCTGCTTCATGAATCCCAATCTCTTTTGAGGAGAATTTGCACATTCACACGGTTTTATTTTAACGAGCTAAATCCTGCCATCCTTCAGGCAGCTAAAGAGATTCGGATCCCGGAGATTAATCACGGAGCTTCAGCGGAACCATTCATTGAGGGATGATCAAACTCCACAAACAAGGCAGCAGATGGTGGCCAGGGGAGGCTTCCAGGCCCTTCTCTAACGAGCACAGCACCGGCTCAGCCTCGTTTGCACATCCCAGCCCCGGCATCCAGGAGTTGTCTCCGCAGGGGCTGGAAAGCGGCGCCTGATGACGGGACCTCAGCTCCTCCAAACTGGCCTGGCTCCTTTGGGAGCCCTCCGGATGGGGAGCTCAAGGCGTGTTTGGAACACCCTCCCAGGCACGTGATGGGATGCTTGGGGTCACACAGCCAGCCCTGTGATCCCTGTAGGTCCATTCCAGCTCAGGATATTCACAGAACCATGGAAAGCTTTGGAAGGCACCTCAAAGATCACCCAGTTCCACCCCTGCCATGGCAGGGACACTTTCCACTGTCCCAGGCTGCTCCAAGTCCCTTCCAGCCTGGCCTTGGGCACTGCCAGGGATCCAGGGACAGCCTCAGCTTCTCTGGGCACCTGTGCCAGGGCCTGCCCACCCTCCCAGGGAACAATTCCTTCCCAATATCCTATCTAAACCTATTTTGTCAGTGTGAAGCCATTCCCCCTTGTCCTGTTGCTAAGGGCCCTTGTAAAAAGTCCTTTTCCATCTTTCTTGTTGGCTCCTTCAAGCACTGGAAGGCCAAAATTAGGTTACCCTGAAGCTTTATTTCTCCAGTCTGAACAATCCCACTTCTCCCAGCCTCTTTCCATCCCTCTGAACCCCTTGGTGCCTCCTCTGGGCTCCCTCGTGTGCTGGAGGCCAGGGCTGGAGCTGGGGTCTCACCTGGACAGAATTCCCTCCCTCACCTGCTGCCCACACCAGTTTGAATTTTGATATTCTAGGATTCTACAAATTTCTATCACCTAAATGTTGTGCTCACAACTTCTGGAGAGGTTCTGTTGGCCTGCAGAACCCCCAGCACTGGAAGTCCCTCTGCAGCAGCTCCCAGCAGCAGGGTGAAGAATAAACCCCTAAAAGCTCCACAAGCTTATTGTTCCTTTGACATATCAGTGACATTCACAGCACCATAAACCTTCCTCATCTGAAATATTTAGCTCCTTAGCAGCAGTCAAACAGACATGCATCCTGCCTGGCACATCCCCACCGTAGATCACGAATTTATTTCTTACAGCCCTCCTGGGTGCTGTATGTGCTGAGACAACTGCATTCCCAGAAATGGGCATAAATATCTGTATTTATTTTCTCATCATACTGGCTGGGGAGTTGGGGAGAGAGAGAGAGAGTGAGAGAGAGCCAGAGTGAGAATCATACAGAGAAAATGGCCTGACAAACGCTCTGGGTGCACTTCCTCCAGCGGAGTGCTTGACATTATTCCTCATCTGCTGTGCCACAGCTCAGAGTGGGCCGTAATTATGGATTTCCAACTGGCATTATGGTTATTATAGATTAGATGTTCATCTGTAAAGACTGTCAAACCAATGAAATTTTCAGGTTTTGAGTAGCCTCCAGGGCAGGGCTCTGCTAGGCTCGCTTTCCTGAGCCATTAGTTTTATTTATAGTCTAGGACTAAACAAGGCAGGAATTAAGGGAATGCTCCTCGCTGAAGGTAATGGTATGGAAATGCTGATGTAGGTCTGTGGCAGCAGACAGGAGCAATAGCCTTGAGGAAATATTGGAAGTGTGGAGCTGAGCAGAGCAAGCAGCACCTCAAGGCTGCTTTTTGTCACTCTGACAGGACAAAGTTGTTAATAATCCCCCCCACACTCTGCACTCAATTATCAGTAATTTAGTGGCATATAGAATATGATATGCACAGGAAAACACAGCAGCCACCCCGAGTTCTCAACAAAATCCCTGGGATGAGTTCCTTTCTCACCTGCTTTGGATTGCAGAGGCTTTGGAGGATTGAAGCACAGCTAAAGGTTGGCATTTTTCAGGCTGCTATTCCAAACAGCTTTTCCACCATAGTTCCTAGGAACAACACGAAGTTGAAATGAATCAGCCAATCTTGAGCCAAAATTACAGAAAAAACATAAATAAATGAATGGATTTTTATTATATACATGGGCTCTGTGAAAACTCTCCTTTTTAGGGCAAACAGAACCTTCAGAGCCACATGGGTTTGATGCTGGTCACTGAGAGAAAAAAAAAAGGAGGGAGGAAATGTGATTTTTGTAAAGATAAGATTATTAAAATATTGTTAAAAGCTTTCTAAGGAGGTGGGAAGTGGGCGTTAAAGGCTTTGGTATCCTGTACATCACCAGCAAGTCCCTCTGTGGGTGCCATTTCCCACTGCCCTGTTGGACCTGGAATAAGGGACAATTCCAAGGGCTCCTTGGAAAGTCAGGACAGCAGCTTTGGCTGTGGCTCCTCTCAGTGCCTGTGTTTTGCTAACTCCATTGGCAAAAGTCAAACTTGCAATCACCAGGATCACAAAGTATCTGAAGGGAAGGCTGGGATGCTTCAGCTGCTGTCTGTGCTGTGAGGAGCTGAGCCAGGAGGCCACTGAAATACCCAAAACACCCCCATTCAAAGGGAAATCAGTGAGAGGCAAAGGTTACACAGAGCACTGCTTGAAAAAAGTTTAATTTTTTGTGTGTGTGTGTTGGACTTTCATGCACAATGTGCCACACAGAAGTGTTGATGGCTGCACAGTGATATTCACCAGCCGTCCCTGTTAGGCCCTACACTGCAAATCACACTCACCCCACACACCTCGGGGGAAAAAATGCATATATTGGGAAAAATGAAGTAGATTTGTCGTTGCTACTCAAAATGATCCAGGGTGAATGCAGGGGAGTGGATTGGGAGTGGCCCTGAGGAGGAGGACTGGGGTGGGTGAAAACCTGGACGTGACGCGGCCCAGAGCCCCTGCCCTGGGCTGAGCCCCAGCGTGGGCAGCAGGAACGGGGACATTGTGCCCCTCTGGCACAATATCCCTCTGAGACCCCAGACAGAGCTGCCCTGGAGCTGGGGAGAGCCCAGGGGAGGCACCAGCACGGTCAGAGCGATGGAGCAGCTCAGCCCTGGAGCCAGGCTGGGAGAGATGGGAATGCTGGACAAGAGAGGAAGGCTCAGGGAGAGCTCAGAGCCCCTTCCAGGGCCTGAAGAGGCTCCAGGAGAGCTGGAGAGGGACTTTTTATCAGGGCTTGTGGCCACAGGAGAAGGGGCAATGGTTTGAAGCTGAAGGAGGGGAGATTCAGGTTAAATATAGAGAAATTGTTCCCTGTGAGTGTGGGGAGGCCCTGGCACAGAGAAGCTGTGGCTGCCCCATCCCTGGAAGGGTTCAAGGCCAAACTTGGAGAAATCTGGGCCAGTGGAAGGTGCCCACAGCAGGAGGTGGAATGGGATCATCTTTAAGGTCCCTCCCAACCCATCCTGGGGTTCTGTGATTTGGTCACACCTGGCCAGTGCCCGCCTCAGCCCCAGCCAGGACCTGGGGATGGATCCAGCCCTGTGTGAATTCCCAGGACCCATGGGACAATGGACATCCTGCTCCCTGTAACTGGGACCTGCAAAATGCCCATCCCAACCCCTCCTTCCCCTCCTCCAGCCTGGACAGACAATTGCTTCCCATTACTCAGGTGGAAGGCTGTAATTACCCTCATAAAAGATGCACAAATAAACCAGTCACAAGCAAATTAATCCAGTCACACCTTACTACTTCACGGGAGTGCTTTGTCTGTACTGGCTTAAACACGATTATTATTTCTAATAGGTCGAGCTGAATTTCAACAGAGCTGCCATAAAAGTGCTGCCTGCTGACAAATCAAAGGTACAGCAGGAATTGCTGCAAACCCAGCACTGAACAGGCCCCCAGCACGTTCCCATCAGATCACAGCTACAGGGACCCAAACAGATACAAAAATCATATAAAAGATCTCATAACAGCTATTATAGTGACACCCTGATCTCAAAGAGACTCAGATCTACGTCACTGGGACAGAAATTTCCCACCTGAAGTGGTGTGGATGCTTTCCCACTGATCCATACCCAGGAGGATGGCAGCACTCACACAGAATTCTGTGAAAGCCAAGGAATCTCCAGTGAAGCCTTCCAGTGATAAAATTCTTTCCACTCCTGTTTATCTATTGATTGGAAAAAGACAAACTGAACCAGGCAGCAAAATTTATATCTCCCCGAGGAGCCCCAATAGCGGGATGATATCGGATACAGGTGGACATGGCACAGCTACAATCAGGGAAAACAGATGGCTGCCTTTTCACCAGAGGGAATTTAATGAGACTTTGCCTGAGAGAAATAGGAAGCAGAAATAATCACTAACAAAACTCTTATCTTTAATTTCACCATTTGCTTTTAGGTAGAATAAATGGAGAGTCAGTGAAGTGATGCCAGCTGAAAAGTGGCAGTGTTCAATAACTTGGTAGGAAGAAAAATACACTGATCTTCACCAAAATAGAGACCTTTAGTCCTGCTTCATGGGCAGAATACAAACAGAATTTAGTCTGCCTACAACAATATTTTACAGAGTGCAACATTGTTTTGGTGTCTGTAGATTATCACTGACTTTCTACCCAGTCTGCCAAATAAAGCTTCAGTTTAAGAGTCCAAACAATAATGAAAAAATATATCAGAACAAGCATTTAGATGATGCAGTTTGAATGAGGTGAAGTTTAGACCCAGCTGTGTGTTGAAAACCACGTAATGATGAACATCATTCTAGGTGCACTGTAAAAATCACGGATTCAGAGGGAATTTTGGCTACTTAGGAGCCATAATTCCTGTGCAGGCACATGTGGACAGCAGCAGTTTGTTCCCATCCCTGGGAGCAGCTGAGAGTTCTTCCATAAAACCAGTAAATACTCTAAATACACACTAGAAAACACAGAGAGAGGCAGCACACACCTCTGGCACTGAAGGCATTTCTCTCCCTTCACAGTGCACTGCCAATACCTGGTGTTGAGCCCAGGGGTTTTCCTGCCTGAATTTCAATCCTAAAAGGCAAAGATACTTGTTTGGAGAGTTTGAAAATAGACAAGGACACAAAAGCAATTTATCCCTTTTTATCTTTCATCTCACACTGAACAACTGCAGTGCAAGTCCTCTCCTTAGCCAGGGCAACATCGGCATTCTTGGAAATTCTGAGTTTACAAATAGAATGTTTGGAAATTGTGCCTCGATATTTTTCACAATAATGGCATAAAAACCTAGCAGATAAATTCTCTTTATCATTTCAGTGCTTTGATGATCCAGAACCATTTGAAAGTGCCCTTGCTCGTCTATTGCAAAGCAGAAGGAACAAAGCCTTAGGAAGTCAATACTGAGTCAATCCAGTGCAGAAAACACCTGAGCAAGGACAGATCCGTGGCTTGAAAAGGGATTTATTGAGGACAACTGCTGCCTTGATTTGCAAGAGATCTGGGAAGGCATTTCTTCAGTGTGCTGCAGCTTTTAAAGCAATTTAGTGACGTGCAGCCAGAGCCCAATCTTCTCCCTGCACCAAGCTGCCAACCAGGCAAGGGAGTTACTCAGCTTAGAGGAAATCAGGCTTTGATAGATTTTTATATCTTAAAAAAAAAACCCTGAAGCAAACAATACATTTCAGGAATCTATCTTTGCTTGCTTTTTCTTACAACGTGCACGGTACCTGTACCAGCACATCACACTTTTCATCCTCTTTAGAGAGCCAGGATCCAATGGATCTGTCCTTTCCAACACCAATTTTATGGTGACTGTGAAATCAAACTGCTAATTAGGAAACTAAAAAAAAAATAAATTAAAAAAAATAGCATAGGCAGAGCAGAAAAATGCTCTGTTATATTCAGAGGCAACAAAGCAGTGAAAAAAATAAAGAAAAAAAAAAGATGTAAGCAAAGTAAAATCAGGTGACAGAAATCAGTAGCTACTGTGGCTACATCACACCCCTCTCACTATGGATTTTTTTATCTGTTTTCAGATAAAACAAAAAAAAATCTGTTTTCAGATAAAACAAAAAAAGAAATCTGATTTTTTATCTGTTTAACAGTTTTCCCTGCACTAGTCCAACATCAAGCTAAAACCCAATAAAGTCTATACCTTGCCTGCACCAATATTTGCTTTTCCTAGGCTGTTTTTGGTTAATTTACAGTCTGGCTCCTGCAGATTAAAACAGCTTTTGAAAAGATGCAGTTTGGGGAAACACTGGTAGCAAATCTCATTTAAATGCAGTCTAATTCATGCAGTGATAATTTATATTGACAGGACTTTGAGAAAGGAAGTGTTTGCCATTATAAGCTGGAATGCATTTCACCTGCTGGAATTCCAACATATGCATTTTTCATGGCATGAATCGATTTCAAAGGTGTTGCATGTGTTTGTTTTATGTCTGTGAGGTTCAGGGAGGCTCCATCTTCCAGTTTTATTTACAGGACAGGAAAACTGAGATAAGGAATTCCCTTGCTGCACCATCCCTGCTGGATTCACTCAACCTCAGCTTCTGGACACAAATGTAAAATTCTGACTGTTCTTAAAATTTGAACTTCCAGATTATTCTTTGCAGAGCATCACCACTGCACCTGCTTTTTCATTATTATTTAAAGCAGGGCTATGGTTTTGTAATGAGCTTTTTCAAAGTGGAAATGGAAGGTAGGTACAATACTCAGAAGACCTGATAAGACCTAATGTTCTAAGGCAGAACTTTTGTATTTAGACAAGCCCTAATGGAGCACTAAGAGAAGCCTCTTTTCCAAGAAATGCATATTATTATTACCGTTTATTAGGGCTTCTCTGAAATAACCTTCCTCTGAGAGCACTTCTAATTAGACAAAGCCAAGAGCTTCATTCACATTGACCTCAGCTCCAGCACCCTGGATAATGGGGAAAGGCAGAAGGGCACAGCCTGGATCTTTGTACAACAAAGCAACGAGAACAGAACATTTTAAAAGAGTTTTCATTAGGGAGAGAAGTTTCTGCCTGTGAGGCACATCCAGGACCAGAAATGCATTACAAACCTGTTAATTGTTATTCCCTTTTAACACTCCAGCACCTGGCTGTGCACAGGCAGGGGAGATCCCACTCCAAAGCCTTCCCTTGCAGGGATAAATGTCTGAACCAGTTGATGCCAGGCCTCTCTAACTGAGGATTCTCCCCCTAAATCTCCTGCTGGGCTTTCCAAGAGTCTCACACAATGCAGGGTTTTGTGGGGACTGCCAAAAAGGGGCAGCAAAACCCACGGAGGTTTTGTAAGGTTTCTGACACAGCCTCTCTCCTTTAGCTGGAAATAATTGAGTTAAAATCAGCAGGATTTCTACCATATGTTGCCCAGTCCTTGAATCCAGGATTACAGGTCATGGTTTTTGTGAGTGACTTAGGGTTTAGGTGAGTGATAAAAATCAAACTCCATTTTCCCAACAGCATTACAGCTTCAACATTTTCCTAGCAGGGGAAAACAATGCCCTGTTGTTTGGCCATTTAGTACCAGTGTGGATGAAACTGTGAGGCAGGAAAATACCTTGAGAGGCTAAAGGAGAGGGATGGGCTTTCCCCACACCTTTGCAGCTCCACTGGGGGAAGAGCCTGGTCCTGCTGGCATTGAGGTGCTGACCCTCAGCATCCCCATGACAACAACTCAGATTTCCTGCCCACTGCCAGGCAAAGACAGCAGCTCTGTGTCTGAGCTAATTACCTGGGGGACAGCAGGAACTGCTGAAACAGAGACTCTGGCTCCATACATCTTCATTAAAATCATCCCATACACTCGTGCTCTGAACCTGGGAAAGGCTAAAAGCTGAAATGCAAATCACGGAGCACTCAGCATTGATTTTTTTATTTTTTTTCCCCACCTTTTTAATTCCTTGAAAAGATTTCTGATCCCACAGTGTTGGATCTTCCAAGGAGACACCTTTGTCACTCCTTTGGAACAG